GCATAAAATCCTCAACACCAAAAGAACATACAGCAATCTGCCTCCACAGGGACCAATCTGTGAATGGTAACCACCACACAGAAAATGGAAGTGTTTTGCTTTACAAAAGATGTAAGAGCCTCCCTTAGGAACCTGAGTTTTTTTACCCTTTGCCCTAAGGAGCAAAGGCTTGAGAGGTAACTCCTCACTCCATGGCTGCTCTCGGAAATTCTCAGATTTCCTCTGAGACTCAAAGTGCTTGTTCCGGCTCTGTTTAGCTTTGTGACTTCCAGCCTGGCTTCCTGCCGTGATCTTCACTTGGAACTGACATGTAGCATTCATTTTGCAGTGCTTTGCATCTACTTTAGTAGCCTTTTTTACAAAGTACCATAAAGTGGCACATTCTTGTTCACCCAGTGTTTATGTGCTTGGCACAGCTGGCACAGAGGGGCACTACATTTATAAATGTATGAGCTTGGAGCTTAATGGGTTTGCTGTATCAGTGCCAGGACACCTAGATTCTAGTTTTATTGCTACAGGTTCATGGGTCAATTATGCTTGGAAAGTCAATTAATTTCTCCATACCTTAGAACTGAGAGTTGCTGGAAATCACAGTGTTTTAGGAGGAGCAGGGCAGTCAGGTTGCAATGAGGACGCATTTATATGTAAATAATTTGAGTAAATTGTCTACAGACATCTCAGAAGAAAAGGACCTACTAAGGTTCCAGTAATTTGTTGTCATTTGTTTCTCATTCCAAATGCTTTTTCATTTCTAATTTCGTATTTGTAATTTTGTATTCTTTTTCTTAAAAAGGACTGCCAAGGAACCACAAAGCCCAGATTCTCCCCATTCTTAAAATGAATTTGCATTCCAGCCAAGGTGTCTATTCATTGCCAATAAAGCTGCTGTGTTCATAAAGCTGCTTTTCTTAAACTATTCCCTCTCAATGAGGCGATGAGGTGAGGATGGTGGTAGGAAAGAAGGAAGAGACAGAGCACATTCTACACAGAGGAACAGTGATCGTGACCACTCAGACAGGAAAGAGCTTATTCACATCACTACACAGAGGCCACTACAGTGACAGGACGTGAGAGTGGAAAGGGAGTGGTATCAGATGAGGCAGAGGCCAAGCAGACTGTGGAAAAAAACCTGGATTTCACTCTTGCCACTGAAGCTGAGAGTGATTAAGATCTAGCTAACATTTAAAAAGATCACTCTGGCTACTATGGAGAGTGGACCGAGGCAGGACAAGAGGGAAATCAGGGAGACAAATTGCACTGGTGCAGCTGTTTGGGGAAGAAAAGGTGATGGCTTGGACTGGAGTGGTAATAGCAGAGATGGGAAGTGAGCAGATTGATATGTATTTTGCAGTTAGTGATGACGGGGCTTGCTGATGAATAAGATTAGCTCCGATGTGAGTGAAGAAGAAGGGGATCAAGGATGATTCCCCGGTTTGAGCAACTGGGTAGACAGGGTCCCATTAGCTGAGAGGAACTGTGCTGGTGGAAGGAGGGTTTTAGCTGTGTTGAGGCTGAGATGCTTGTAATACTCCCAGGGGCAGAGTCAAATAGGCCCCTGGCTATCCAGAGTGTGCAGGAGAGGCTTATGCTGAAAACAAAACTTTGGGAGTCATAAGCATATATGGCTTTCAAAGCGATGGGAATGGGTGAGAACACTTAAGAAGGGGGTAGAAAGGAGGCAGAGGAGGGCAGAAAAAAAGAGAAGAGAGTAGAGAGAGAAAAAGGGAAGAGGGCCTAAGATGGGGCCATGGAGAAACTAGAAGCAGGAAAGCCAGGAGAGGGCAGCCCTGTGGAAGACAACAAGGAAGAGTGTTTCAGGAAGGCAGGAATGGCCAGCAAGGCCAGGTGACATTGAACAGGGTAAGGATGAAAAGTGACCTTTGGGTTTGGGCCTATGTTTAGAATTCAGTAGGCACCAAGCTAGATAAAAGGAATTTCAGCATACTCATAGAACTAAAAATCAGACTGGAGCGAGTAAACGAGGAATTGGAAAAACAGAACAGAAACAGACCTGTAAGCATTGTAGAAATTAAATCAGTAGTTAAAAATCTACACTCTCCCCAGCAACAAACAAAAAACACTAGTTTTTTTCTAGGTTCTACCATACCTTTAAGACAGAGATATTTCCTCCTATCTGTTCTAGATAATAGAAAAGAAGGTAAAGATCCTCAGTTTATTTTATGAAGCTCTTATAACCTCATCATGTTTGGTCAATTCGAACCAAAATAAGACAAGGATTTTATGTGAAAGAAAAACTGTAGGCCAGTCTCATTTCAGTTTGCAGATGGAGACATTCTAAAATAATAGCCAAGGAACCCAATAATGTAGGAAAAAATAACACATCATGACCAGGAGGCAAAGATGGTTTAACATTAGAAAAATGTAGTGTTACCTCAATAGATTCAGGATAAACATGGTAAAATTCCAAATACACACATTCATGATTAAAAAACAACTCTTAGTAAGCTAAGAATAGAAAAATTATTCCTTTTGCTAATGCAGGATATCTACCCAAATCTATAATAAATATAATACTTAATGGTGAAAAATTAGAAGCATTCTCTTTGAAGTCAGAAGACAAGGATATCCACTATCACTGCTCCTTTTCTGTAATAAAACATAGTAAGACAAGAAAAATAATGAAGTTATAAAAATAGAAACAATACCATTATTCACTGAAAATATGATTGTATACACAAAAAATTCAAGAGAATCGAAACAAACTACTGTAACTGCTAGCAAGGTTGCCAGAACACACTCTCAAAATACTAAAAATCAGTGCTATTCCTGTATACCAGCCACAAAATGTTAACTATTATAATAAAAAAATTTACAACAGCAACCAAACCGGTAAGCTAATATGACTAAGTACATCTAATAAAAGATGCATAGACCCTTATGTAGAAAATTATAAACTTCACGGAGGTATGTTTTAAAAAAGCAAGCGATATAACATGTTCATAGTTAGGAAGACCCAATGTCATAAAGCTGTGAAATCACTCAAAGACTCAAATCAAGAAAAGCAGAGAGTTTTGAAGAAGAGCCTTACGTAGGAGCTTTTCTCTAACAGATACCAAGAAAGCTGGAGGTATTTTCCTTTTCCCTTCCTATGAAGGAACATGGCTTAGGAGTTAACACTTTTGGCTCTCTCCATTACCTCTCACTCTCTTAGAGGAGGCGGGACTTTTCTGATTGGTGAATTTAGAGGGCAAAATAGCAACTGGGTATTCTTGGCTCAGCCCTATCTGGGCTCCTGCAGAGAAGCCACCTGATCACTGCCTGCCAATTAGTTAAGGGTCTGCCTCTCTAGGGAAAGCCTGTGGCTCTCCAGTTTACATTGTGATTATGAGGATAAGTTTAATTTTGAGTGACATCTTTGCAAGCCCATTTTATTACAGATCGAAAGCCCCATTTTCCAAGCAGCTTTATCAGTAGTAAAATGGACATTTTGATTTTTATTTCATCCTCAAATCTCAACAAGACTTTTAGAAATTACATCTTACAATAATTAAAAATGTGATACTAATCGATGGCTAGCCAAATAAAGCAACAGAACAGACTAGGGAGCCTGGAAATGGATCTCTATGGATAAGTGAACTTGGTTTACAAAAGAGATGCCATTATCATCAGTGGAGAAAAGACAGACACTTCAGTAAATGGTACAGGGACAACCTGCTATCCTGCACTGAGCAAGATTCATTGAGTGTAATTAATTAGTGTTGTAGGTTGCCAATTTTCTCATTATTTTAGGTTATTTACCATTGTGTTAGAAAACCTCTTCATGAATTCTATGCCTAGTTTCCAACTGGACCACAAATCTCTTGGGGACAGGGCTTGAGCCTTCTTGTTTCCCTCCAGAGTGCCTATCATAGAACTTTACACAGAGACAAGCTACATAAATGCCTGCTAGCTCACTTTCATTATTCTTACTACTTTATATTAAAACTTAATTCCTCTCTCATATTCCTGAAGGCATCCGGGTCCATATCAACACCAAGCTTTAATAATTATTTTGATGTTTTGAGTGGAATTCTTTAAACAGTTGTGTATTTGCTTAACAACAGTTGTGTATTTGAGTCCTATCTAAGACCAGATATCTGAAACTTGCCGTTTTGAAAATCAAAGTAAAGACCAATCACAGTTTTTTTTTTTAATTTTTCTGAAGGCACATCAGCAGAGGAAATCAAATTTCAGAGAGGTAGAATTTCAAATCCACACAGATGATGAGAAAAATACCTGGAATCAGAAGCTAGTGCTGCCCCCAGCAGGCTAACTCTACAAGGCTGCTTTCCAGTCACGTGATTTTGTAAGTTACTGCCCACTACCCAAGGATTCAAACGTCAAGAATTACTAAATGGATACAGCCAACAGCTTTCCATTTAGGTCAAGTGAATGAATCTAGTATCTTCTTTGTATCAGACTTCCCCTCTCCCCTTCTCTTTTTAAAAGGTCCAGGTCTATCCTGATGGAGCACTTTCAGCAGCAGCTTGCCCTCACGGTTCAACAGGTACTGACAAATACAAGAAACATTTCAGAATGTACCTACTGGTCTCACACTAAGTCCTGACCCGCTGACCTATTCCTTATCTGCTTTCTTCCTTTAATGCTCACAGTCATGGATCCTGATGCTCATTCCATAATCAGGCCCTTCACCTGTTCTTTGGAAAGGCCCAAGGGGCTCTGGGTCTCCTTTACCATGAATCATACTGGCTGTCTTTCAGTTTGTCTCAGCAATGCCCTCAAGGGCTCCTTGCTCAGCCACCTTCCCAAAGTCCAAGCAGTATCCTCTTGGCCCCTCCTCCCTCCAAGAGGGCTACATCCTCCTTAGCCAGACAGGAGCTTAGATCTCCCCAAGTGTGATGGTGCCTTTCATTTTCCTCCGATATCTCATTACAGAAGAAAACTCAGATGCAGGTGTGGAGCAATGTGGAAGTCAGAAAAGATTTTCAGGATCATTATCCACATTATAGTTTCTGGTTATTAGAGATAAAGGTACTCACCACCTGACCATTAGTCCATGCTCCATGAAGTTTTTCAGGTTGGGAAGGGTTTGTCGCAAGTCTGGAGTCCCCAGTCCATGTTGGTATCTTAGCTGTGAAGGTGAAAAAAACAGAATTAAAGATATTTTGGCAGATTATAAGCTTCAGAAAAATGAACCACTAAACAAGTTATTTTTTTTGAACTCTAAAAGAGGAAATGTAAATGTATGATACTATTATCAGCCTCACAGTACTGTACACTTACTGGGTATTTGACATACAGATAAGCATGTGTATGAATATGCACAACCACTTAAATTACGATGGTATTTAAGGTAGCCTCTTCATCTACTTACTGTTCTCTTGCCCCCTAAACTTAGAGAAGACTAAGAGTGACCAACTGCGGAATCAGGATATTTCAAAGACCCCTGTATCTGGCCTTCTTTTCTACCCCCAGACCGTGGTAGGGTTTGCTAACACCAATTTCAGGGACATATACCAGAAAACCAGTGTTTCTTTTTAGATATTGCCAGCTTCCCTTCAGCCCCTCTCTTTTGTATAAACAAGGGTAAAGACCATCTTGTATTCATCTCTGACTCCAATAGTGCCTGGCATAGTGCTGGCACTTAGTCAATGCTTATTAAACAAATAAATTGCAACTCACTTTTGACAGAGGCTGTGCTCTGTATTTCTCTTGAGTCTCTAACGTTCCTCTTTGTCCAGACCAGAGCACACAGCTGGAGAGGTGGTACAGGGAAACTGCTAACTTATGGGCGAGATCTGCCCTTTGTTTATTTCTGCTAGAGGCCAATTTTCTAAAATTAAGTGTCTTTCTGAGTGCTTTGGATAACTTGCTAATGGTTTTCATCTGTCTGCTCTTCACTTCCTTAAACTGTGTCTCCGAATATCACCATTTGCCTCCCTAACTGACCATAACGGAGAGCCGAGCCGAAGTAAGTGGATGTGCATATTCACACACATGCTCATCCACACATCAAACACACAGTAAGTGGACAACACAGTTTTGCAAAATGTGTTTTTCAAATGACATATTACACATGAAGAAAGTTTATAGACTTTATAAAATGTATGTCAGTGTACAAATGTGAAGAGGCATCAGTCTTAAAGTTTAACTCTTTTAGCACTTAAATTTAAGAGTGGCTAAGTCAAACTTTTAAATAAATCCCTCTTTTAAAAAAGAAAACCACAAATCATGTGAATAGAAAGCAGGCCTTCAGAGTTAGACAACGGGGGCATAAAAAAACACCTACTAAAAATAGTAAGTTTTCTTTTGTTTGACTCTAGTATTCAACTGATTTTTCTCTGCTTGAGTGATACTTAGAAAGAGTTCACTCTCACTGATTCTGGGCTTTTTAAGAAAAACCTCTAAACCTAACTGGGTCTCCTGAATGGTTTGAATGAATACACACACAAAGTAAGGAGGTAGAAACATACTACGTTAAAACTAAAAAGTATCTTGAATATTATTTCAGCTAATCCTTTTCTTTTGCAGATGGGAAAACTGAAGCCCAGAAAGGGGAAGTAAATTATCCAGGGCCACATGGTTCAATGGCAAAGATATTATCAGCCAGGGCCTGCTTTTCACAAACCATACTACTCTCTACCATCTATCCCAAAGTCTGAGAAGAAAACTGGTAACAATACTTGAGAAAGCAGAAGGAAAACAGTTTTTTTCCTTTTTCAAACTCAGCTTGGTGACCTAAATCACCTCCTGAGATTTGCTGACCTTAAATTATAAGATCTACCCCCATATTAAATGACATCATTTCTTATATTAATATAAATGCATTTTTCCATACATTGATAAAAGCAAAATGGCTGATATCCCAACATGACATTCCTGAATTCATTGTTTCAATAAGAAGTGAAATTGTTTACACATGGCATGGAAATTTTACCTGTGATTCATAGTGAAAAATATTAAACATCAAGGGAAAAAGAAAACCATACTGAAATAACACTAAGCTATGTATCTCCCAGTGAGTACACAGACAACTGCCTGCCCCAGGTTCCACAGTGGAAGATGGGTGTGGAACTGTTTTCAGAGAACACAGTGAAAATTTCTCTCCAAGTCTGATTTTAACCAAAAAAAGAAAAACGTGGGAATTTCAAGCCTGCGTCTGGGTCTTAACTCTTCATTTGCTGCATAGCACTACTTTTTTAAAAATCATAAAATCTTTGAATTTTATAACTAAAAGAGACCCTGGAGATCATCTTTCCAACCTTCTTCCTCTTATAAATGAAGAAACTAAGGCCCAGGAAGACAAGAGCATCCTGCCCAAAGTTACAGGGATGATAAGGGACAAAGCCAAGGCTAGAACCTCTTAATAACAGCTCCAAAATCTACCATATTACCTTTTTAATTTTCCACCTAGAGAACTCAAAAATAAATGCATACATAACACATACATTATTATTAATAAAGTATAAGTACGGTTTAAGAAGTCTAAACCACGGTAAGATTTATAATGAAAAAAAAAAAAAGTTCTCTTCTCTACTATCTACCCCAAACTCTGAGAACACCTTTTAGCTGCTTCTTCACCTTCATATTTCTAATATGCTTATATTAAGATTTTTTATTCTCCTTTCTCCTCCAGTTGGAGACATCATCTACTACATTCCCACCATGAAAGATGAGAATTTAGCACTCTAACACCACTTTGCCCTCACACAAACATTTTTTCCCCTTTCCCGTACATCATCTACTGGCTTTTTCTGAAAGAGTATGAGAACTTGACTGTACTCTCCCACACATAGTTCCCTTCCTCATCTTCTCAATACATTCAATATCACATTTTAAATTAAATCAACATTTAGTGTTTACCTCAATATACCTACATAAATACTGTTTGCTGCTGAGCTATGTAATGTATTATTCCTTTCTTGCACTTGTTTGTTTCACTGGAAGTGATAACTGCCATTTTTTCTACCAGTTGAGTTTTTCTATGTACTTGTCACTAGAAACTCCCCAAACTCTGACAAAAATCTTAAAACTGGTCAGGCGTGGTGGCTCACACCTGTAATCCCAGCACTTTGGGAAGCTGAGGTGGGTGGAGTTTCAGACCAGTCTGAGCAACATGGTGAAACTCTCTCTCTACCAAAAATACAAAAAATTATCCGGGCATGGTGGTGCATCCCTGGGGTTCCAACTACTCAGGAGGCTGAGGTGGGAGGATTGCTTGAACCTGGGAGGTTGAGGCTGCAGTGAGCTGAGATTGTGCCACTGCACTCTAGCCTGGGTGATAAGAGTGAGACCCTGTCTCAAAAAAATTAAAACAAAACAAAACAAAACAAAAACCCTTAAAATTCTTCTCAATCTAACTAAGCACACCATAAAATTGATCAAGTCCATTTTGTTCTTAGAGATGTATTTCCTGAAGCCTCTTCTCTCTGCTTCAGCCTGAACTGGCTGCTAGCTAGGCCTGCTGCATTATCTTCCTACAAGCTTCTTTAGCCATCATGCTGGAAATTTTGTTTACTTTTCTCCTGTGCTGAAGCTGTTATTTCCTAGATTGTCTTTTTTCTTGATCTACTGCCTCATCTTGGTGGAGTGTATCCTATATTATCTTTCTGGAAAGGATAGCATGGGAGGTTAACTTTTATGACACCCTGAATATTTCAAAATATAACTATTCCATTCTTACACTTGAATAATAGTTTGCCTAGGTATAGATTTCAAGGCTGCAAATACTTTTTCTTAAGTAGTTCCAAAGTATTTCTTTACTGCCATTTAGAAACCTGTTAAAATTCTGGTTCCTGATCTTGTGAATGTAAGCTGGTTCTTCTCTCTGGAAGCTTTAGGACTTTCTTCTTTAACCTTAGTATTCTGAAATTTCATAGTGATAGGCCTTCATTTAGGTCTTTCATTCATCATTTTCAGTCTGTTTTCATTCCCTGGGCCGAGCACTTACTACATCCTTTCAATATGAATACTTTCATTGCCTAATTCTGATCATTTTCTTCTATTATTATTATTTTGTCTCCTCCTTCTTCATTTTACCCTCTGGATTTCTTTTTTTTCACTTTATTTTAGACTTTTTTTTTTTTTTTTTTAAATATTAGAGGCTTTCCTTTAATATCTAGTAATCTTTGGCTGTTAGTTTATCTTTACAAGTGAGACTGTGAGACTCTAAAAAGCTATGAAGGAAGTCTGCCTTGGCAGTACCTGACTGGCTGTGGGGGAGGGGTTCACTGTAGAATGAGTGGATGGAAATCCAGTCTTTCCACGGGGGAAGGTTAGTACTACAGTCCCAGTACCTCTCATTGCTGCCTGTTTTTTTTCCCAGAAAGAATCCTTCAATCTTCTGTCTTGAGGCATAATCTGGATCTTATTTGGGGTGTAAAGTTGGAAAAGGTAGTTGGGGAACTCTGTGTCAGTATGTTACACTTTCACTTAATCACCTTTTGGTAAGGCACCTTCCTTCTTGTTCCCAGTGTATCAAGCAGTTTAGGTTCAGAGCTTCTTGGGCTCAATCTTTTTCAGCAAGTAAACCTTCATTTTCCTGCTAGGGCATGGGGGAACACAGTTATTGGCTGCAGAGAGTGGGAAAAATGAACTGGGAGTGTTACTTCTCGTTCTCTATAGACTGTCAACCTATCCTCCTATGTTTAGCTCTATATATTGTCCCTAAACTTCATGAAGTGCTCGGTACCACCACATCCTTCTGGAGTCTGTGGTTTGGATTCTGTTGCTTCTTAAAGGCTTCTGCCAAGTCAAGTTTATCACTCATTCGTTTACTTGCAATTTGCTAAATTTTCTTGGTCTTGTCTGTTCTTTTCATCCTTGTGAATTTAAAATTTTTAATTTATTTAACCTTATTATTAGCATTTTAGTAGAGAAGTGACTTAAACATATTCAGGCGGGTAGATTGCTTGAGATGAGGCATTCGAGACCAGCCTATCCAATATGGTGACACCCTGTCTCTACTAAACATACAAAAATTAGCCAGGTGTGGTGGCATGCACCTCCCAGCTCCTCGGGAGGCTGAGGCATGAGACTCACTTGAACCTGGTTAGCAGAGGTTGCAGTCAGCCGAGATTGTGCCACTGCATGCTAGCCTGGGCAACGGAGACTCTGTCTCCAAGCAGAGTC